GCTGCACTAGGTTCTATCACCCATTGGGATACTTTCCTTGACGTCTCTCATTCTCTGCCCAGTAGTCAATACTTTCATAGCATAATTGCTTAAGATTGTTGTTTCAATGCTACCAGTGGTTTGCATTTATTGTTTCTGCTCTCTGTCCCATCATATAGATTATAATTTGTATCTGGGAATATTTCTCTCCAAACACAGCTTTCAGATTTTCAATAAGTGGGAATCTACCACTAATTGAGAAAAGATAGGCTCTATTTTTGTCTGATATCTTGTCCCAGTTCTCATATGGTCATTTGTGTTGGTCACAGAATTATAGGTTAGCAGTAATTTTAAGCTATTTTAAACTATTAAAAAATGTTTTCTTTTCACTTGGTTTTCTTTAAGATTTCTGGGATGTGTCTAAGTAGAGATTTATTTATTCTGTTTAAAACTACTTTGGTTACTTAAATTTTTAGAAAATTCTGAGCCATTATTTCTTCATTGTCTCTGCTTATTCTACATTTTCCCAGTCTTCTCTTTCTGCAACTCTGATTACTGTATTAAGCATTTATACTTTTAACATACTATTTCTACCATTTAATTTTTGCTTTTTTTCTGTCCAACTTTTCCAATTCTTTATTATATTTCTTCTGCATCTAAATAGCTATTAGATCTATTAACATAGTTCTTGTTTTTGTTTTTGGGCCATACCCAGTGGTACTCAGGGGTTACTCCCGGCTCTGAACTCAGGAATTACTCCTGATGGTGCTTAGAGGACCATATGGAATGTGAGAGATCAAACCTGGGTTGACTTCATGCAAGGCAAAGGCTCTACATGCTGTCCTATCTCTTGGGCCCTATTAACATATTTTGTAACTTTCTTTTTCTTTTATTATTTAATTATAGTTTAGGATGCATGTTTACAATAGTGCTAACATTCATAGTTTTGATCTATAAATGGTACTCAGGTGAGGAAGGTCACTAAAGTGCCTAAGACCTTTGCCAATGTCCCTGTTACTTCTAGACTACTTTATCACTCATCCTTATACACTCCCGCTTTACTTGGTACACTTTTAGTTTTATAATCCAGGGCCAAGAATTTTTTATAATTTAATACTGCTTATTTTGATTAAGTGGGCCCAGTAGCATCTCCATTGTGAAACTTGTTACTGATTAATGGGTAGCTTACTCTCGGTAGCTTGTCAGGCTCTCTGAGAGGGGTGAAGGAATTGAACCCCACTCGGCTGGCTCGAGTTCGAGCCGGGTTTGATTCCTTCACCCCTCTTGGAGAGTCCAGCAAGCTACTGAGAGTATCTCGCCTGCATGGCAAAGCCTGGCAAGCTCCCCGTGACGTATTCAATATGCCAAACACAGTAACAAGTTTCACAAATGGAGACGTTACTGGGCCTGCTCGAGCAAATCAACGAACAACAGGAGGACAGTGCTAGTGCTAATACTGCTTATTATTCTCTTGTTTTTTCTTATACTACATATACAGGAGATTATCTGCTATTTTGTTGACTTATTTTGCTTAGCATACCTTCCAGTTCCATGTTGCAGTGAATCATAAGATTTCATCTTTGCTTGCAGCTGCATGGTATTCAGTTGTCCCTCTGTGTGTGTATATCAACTTCTTTTTTTTTTTTTTGAGTCACACCCGGCAGTGCACAGGGGTTACTCCTGGCTCGTGCACTCAGGAATTACTCCTGGCGGTGCTCAAGGGACCATATGGGATACTAGGAATCGAACCCGGGTCGGGAATGTGCAAGGCAAATGCCCTACCCACTGTGCTATCTCTCCAGCCCCGTGTATCACCTTCTTTGTCTATTTATCTGTCATTAGAATTTGGGGTTGTTTTTATATCTTGGCTATTATTCAATCTAAATAGATGTGTGTCTATATCTTCAAAATAATGATTTTATGTTTGTCAAAGATATGAAGAAGTGGAATTGTTGGATCACATGAAAGGTCTCTTCTTACTTTATTGAGCAATCTCAATACTCTTCCATATAGACTGAGCCAGATAACATTTCTAGCAGTGAATGAGAGTTTCTTTTTCACGACCTATCTGCCAACTGGAACCTGATTGGTTGCAGTCTTTTTGATATATAAAATTCTCACTGGCATAAGATGATATCTTGTCATTTTGACTTGCAGTGAAATAACAAGTGACAATGGAACACTTTTTGGGGCATGCCTATTGATGCTCTGCGTGTCTTATTCATGGAAGTGTCTTTTATCTCCTCCCATTTTTTATATTTTCTTTTTTCCTCCATTTTTAAAAAATTGAAGCATTGTGATTTATAATACTGTTGATGATGCATAAAGTGTTCCATTTTTCTAGGGGTTATTATTAACTGTCTTTCATAAATGTTCTGGTTGGTTGTATTATAAATGTTAGGTCACTATAGTTTTCTATTCCATGAAGATATTTTTAAAATTGTAATTCTCTTTTAAACATTTTAAATGAAGCAGGTATAATTGTTGTATAATCTGTCTGACCATTAAAATCTAAAGTCTTGAGAGTTGGAGCTAGAGTACAGTGGGTAGGGTGATTGCCTTGCATGTGACTGACCTGAGTTCCATCCCCGGCATCCCATGTATACCCCTGAGAACTGCCAGGAATAATTCCTCAGTGCTGAGCCAGGAGTTACTCCAGAGCATTGGTACGTGTAGCCCCAAATCAAAACAAAGAAAATTTTTAAAAAAAATTGTTTCTTAGTGAAACACCATGAAGTACAGTTGTAGATTTACAAATTTTTGTACTTGGGTTTCGATTATACAATGACCAAATACCCATCCCTCCACCAGTGCCCATTTTCCACCACCATGGATTTCAGTATCCTTCCCATGCCCATCTCCCCCATCCCACCCTGCCTCTGTGGCAGGGCATTCCCTTTTGTTCTCTTTCTCCTTTTGGGTGCTGTGGTCTGCAAAAGAGGCATTGAGTGGCAATCATGTTCAGTCCATAGTCTACTTTCAACATGCATCTCCCCTCCTGGGAGGATCCTCCAAACACCCTTTATTTGGTACTCCCTTCTCTATCTGAGCTGCCCTTTCCCCTAGAATGCCCGGCTGGCCTCTAAGCCATGGAGTAATCCTCCTGGTATTGATCTCAGCTCTTCTTGGTATTAATCTCCTATTTTGTTACTTTATGTCCCCCAGATGAATGCAATCTTTTTATGTCTATTCCTCTCTTTCTGACTCATTTCGCTTAGCATGATACTTTCCATGTAGTACCACTTGTATGTAAATTTCATGACTTCATCTTTTCTAATGCTACATAGTACACCATTGTGTAGATGTACCAAAGTTTCTTTAACCAGTCATCTGTTCTTGGGCACTCAGGTTTTTTCCAGTTTCTGGCTATTGTAAAGAGTGCTGCAATGAACAAACAAGTGCAGATGTCACTTTGACTATACATTTTTGCCTCTCTGGGATATATTCCCAGGAGTGGTATTACTGGGTCAAATGGGAGCTCAATTTCTAATTTTTTGAGAATCGTCCATACTGTTTTCCAGAAGGACTGAACCAGTCGGCATTCCCACCAACAGTGAAGGAGTGTCCCTTTCTTGCCACATCCATGCCAGTATCGGTTGCTTTTGTTCTTTTGGATGTGGGCCAGTCTCTGAGGTGTGAGATGGTATCTCGTTGTGGTTTTGATCTGCATCTCCCTGATGATTAATGATGTAGAGCATTTTCTCATGTGCTTTTTTGCCATTCGGATTTCTTCTTTGAGAAAGTTTCTGTTCATTTCATTGCCCCATTTTTTGATGGGGTTGGCTGTTTTCTTCTTGTGGAATTCAACCAGTACTTTATATATCCTTGATATCAACCCCTTGTCAGATGTGTATTCGGCGCATATCCTTTCCTATTCCATAGACTGTCAACAAAGCAAAATTTTATAAAAATATCAAATAAAATCTAAAGTCTTTGTGGGATTTCCCCCCTTTATTTCTCATAGTGTCTTGTTTCTTGGTATTCTTCAATATTATATGTATATAAGTGAGTATGTTAATAATTTCTATAAAAATTATTAGTAGAAAAGTTTAAGGCCTACGACAAAACTAACTTACTCTACTCAGGATTTTTTTGGACTTCAGTAGAAACTTTCATAATGGTCACACTTTACACTAGGTTCCTTGGCCTAAAGGCTTTTGACCATGGAAGGCAAAGGGACTAGGCATCTCCTCTCTTTCCTCCAAGACCCCAGGTCTTAATGTAACTTTATTGTCCACTAATGCCTAAGAATGACTGTAGGCCTGGTTTACTCCTGTATTGTCCAGCTCTGAGGCTGGGACCCTGGGGGCAGGGAAGGCTCTACTATTAATCTCTCTCCTTTGCTTGAGTCCCAGACTTTCATTTCTCTCTTTAACTTTAGGCAACTGTGGTTACTGGAGTGGTTTTCATGCTTAATTCTTTTCAGCAGAATGGATCCAAATAACCTAGGCAGCCACAGGCAGGAATAGATCTGTTTTAATTATGTTAGAAACTGTTTACTTGGAACTTGCCTCTTAGACTGAAAGAAAAAAAAAATTTGTTTATTGTTAGACACTCTCACTAGAGAATGAATTCCATTTTATTTAATGATCATTTACATCAAACTTCCTATGTACCAGGTATAGCTCTAATAGCTTTATAAATATTAACTCATTTAATCCTCCTAAAAGCTCTATGAAACAGGCACGGCTATTATTCTAGATGATGTAATGAGACACTAAGTACTTGAGTTACTTGCCCAAGGTCACACAGCTGGTTAGTATGGGAGCCAGCTCTTGACCCCAGAAAGACTGACCTCAGCCTTCAGGACCTAAGTAATCACTGCATCGTGTCTCCTCCCAGGGCACAAGTACCTGTCACTAATGAATTTTTAGGACCTGGCTCGCTGCCTGGCAATAATAGTTCTCAATCCTGTTGAGGGAGTTGCTACCACAAACATAAACACAAGTGCTTTGTTGATTGTACTGTGGCTCGGTCGTAAAAAGAAATGCAGTGAAAGTGGCCATGTCGTAAAACAAAGATCCATCATTTCACTCTGGGCTGCTTTTCTTTACCATGCATAGGAGGGAGAGCAGGGAGAGCCAATTATCTGGCAAATGTGTTTTGTTATTACTAATTGGAAGAAGATGGCTGTGTTCCAATATCCTTTACTGGACGCGGAGTCAGTGGCAGAGGCTAAGGATCAGGTGAGAGAACACAGTCTCGGAGGATGACTGCTGCTGAGATTGTATCAAATACTGTGTTGAGGGAGTATTGGGTGATTTAGGGAACTGACATCTCGGAAAAGCTTCCACAGCAGATCCAGACTCTCAGCAAACAAAGGGATTGAGCTTGATTGTTTGCCGGGAAACCACTCAGGTAAATAAAAGTCATGTGTTACTGGACTGGGCAACGAGCTCTGGCTGGTGATCTGGGTCTAGTGCTGGGCTGGGGTAAACTAGCTTCTTGAAAAGGTGACCTGCCATCTGCAGCTCTTAGTTTCTCCCTTTCAAAAGGTTGAATTTGTTATGCTTCATTGGCCAGGTGGAATTTTCTCTTTTGTGGTTTGTCGATGTGTCAGCTTGTTACGTCACAGGTGTGCAGGGAGAAGACTATCTGATGGGAGGGGAACACGATGTGGGGAGGTCAGTTTTGGTCTCCTCATCTGCATGGAGGCCAAAGTCAACTTATATAATTAGATATCTAATTATATAAGAAATAGCCAAGTTCTTAAGTCATAGCTTGTTCGGAGAAGCCCAGAGTTTCCAGACCTGGGTTCTTTCCAGTGCTAACAAAGTTAAACCTCTCACTGGACAGTTTTACTTAGTGACCATTAAAGTTTACCCATTTGCTGCCATTTTATTTGTATAGTGGAAGAATCTGTTTTAGCTGTAGCTGTCAGCTACTTACCAAATTATTCAAATTAGAATTTTTTTTTCTAATTTGGGCTCTTTATTTTTAAGAAGCATAAATTGGTAAGTTTGTTTGACTTAAGAACATAAATGGGGGCTGGAGCAATAGTACAGCGGGTAGGGCATTTGCCTTGCACACGGCCAACCTGGGTTCAATTCCCAGCACCACCAGGAGTAATTCCTAAGTGCAGAGCTAGGAGTAACACCAACCAACCTGGGTTCAATTCCTGAGCACCACAAGGAGTAATTCCTGAGTGCAGAGCTAGGAGTAACACCTTAGCATTGCTGGGTGTGACCCAAAAAACTCAATAAAGAAATAAAATAAAATAAAAGGAACATAAATGGATTCATTAATTTCTCTCTCCCATTCTTTGTTGTGTGACCAGGGATGATTTACTTGGTTGCTGTGCTCATATCACTTGGTTGTGATATGCTGGAAGATCACAGTTGTCTGGTAGTTCTGAGAATCACAATGGCAATGCTGCAGGCATCTTACTTGGTGCCAGATATCAAATTCATAGCTCAAGCTTGCAAGGTAGATGCTTTACTCCTGAGCCACATGCCTGGGTTCTGCTTTCCGGTTTTCATGCAGAACAATTACATATTAAAAGTCCAACAGCTTCATTATCGAACGTTTAAGCTGTTTGTTCAAGGTCATAGGACTATAGGTTGGCTTAATTTGGGCCATTCTTTTACTAAAACAGTGTTTTCTTAATATTGTTAGTTGAATTCCACATTACCTTTAAGTTCATCCTAGCTCGATAAATTTAACTGTTGTTTTGGATGAAGGCTATAATATTAAAAGTGATATGTCTATTTAACAAATTTCAGTTTAGGTCATTGTATTCTAAGTTTCTAGCTAGAACTATGCTAACCATGAAACTATGTATGATTGCCTAAATATGAAAATCCTATGGACTCACCCAGCACCCAAAGTGAAAAAGAACAGTGGGAGTTGTAAGGATCTATGTTTCTTGTGAAAAGACTTGATGGTTGACTTGAATTACTAGGTGAGTGTTTTGGGGAAAAGTTCTTTAATACCTTTAGGATCTGGTTTCTTTATATGTATAAGAAGTAAGATATAATATCTACTTCCTAGGATGGTTGCCAAGATTAAAGTACACAGTACATTTATTTAAGTCCCTAGCATAGTACCTGACACACAATAGGCACTTAATAAATGTTAGTTTCTCCTTGACTAATTTCTTTCATGCACTGTGTGGGAAAATTATGTGAACAAGTTCTACAAATCAATCAATTCTAAAGTTTTTTGAAAGTAATAATAGTATTCTTTAAAGATAACTGTTATTACTATTGATGCCAATTCTACTCTCCCAACCCCACCCAAAATATAATGTTAACATTTACCAGAGAATATTTAATTTACAACAATTTGCTATGAATCAGACACCTACCTCCCCTCCCCCTGGAACACAATGATTACATCAAATCAAGCAGAAGTTTTCTTTATGGGATTCAAGAATGCTCTTCATCCTTCTAATGCCAAAATTGCATTACTTGTAGCTGGAGAAGGAAGTGTGTTCAGTTAAGCTTGAAGGCAATGTTACCAGAAAAGGATTAACAAATCATAAGACAAAAATCCTTAGAAGTAAGGTCACTACCAGACTGTGGCGAGGGCACAAGCCAAAGAATACATTGAATATGTGCTGGCTCATTAGCTCCTGGAATCTTAATAAGTAACCTGTGTCATGGGTTCAGACCCCAGGGAGGAAAGGAACGGGAGCAGCTTCTCTCCGCTATGCTGGACCACATGGCCATGGTCCATTTGCAAAAATGGTTTTTAAAAATTTTATTAAAAGAATATAAACACATAATTTAAAAGTCAAATATAATAATGTAGCAAATTATGGGGTTTCTTTCCTCAGTCATCTTCCCCAGCCACTTCCAACCATTTTGACTTTTTATGCTTGGCATGAACACAATTTCCCACGTCTAAGTAATCCACATGTTCCTCCTCTCTTTGGTTTTATCAATACCAGATTTCTTCATTCACTTGCTATTAAGGCATTGGAAAAGGTTATTTTCATACAACAACATGCTCTCTCTGCTTTATTGTTATCCTCTGTATTCCCTCTAACTAGAATCATCTTACCACCTTCCTTTGACTATACACGTTTCTGTTATTGTGTCTATGTAAATATTGTTCAGGCTAAGCATTGTGGTGTTCAGATGATTCTATTTGCTTTTTGTGTTTTCCTAGTTAGTAATGCCCCTCCACACCCCTTATCAGTTTATCTGAAGATAGAAGTTCTAGTTCTAGTTGAAGGCCTAGTTCCAGTTCTTTCTATGCCTTCAAATGGCTTTCTGCCATCTTTCTCTTTCTCTGTCTCACCTACTTTTAAAAAAAAATTTTATTAGTGAAACACCATGAGGTACAGTTGTAAACTTACAAATTTTTGTGCTTGGGTTTCAATTATACAATGATCAAGTACCCATCCCTCCACCAGTGCCCATATTTTCCACCACCATGGATCCCAGTATCCCTCCCACCCCTACCCCGCCCCAGTCCCACCCTATCTCACCCACTTTTAAAAAAATTTCCTCTGGTCATCTCTTTGTCCTTGAAAATGGACTCATTTCTGGCCTGCTGCACAGCGTCCTCTGAGGTATAATGCTCCAGCTGGATTTCCTTTATCCTGGATTTTGAATGTCCTTGTTTTGGACTCCTTGTTTTGATGACCACCTCTGCAGATGTTATTTGTCTCAAGCATGCTTTGCATGTGCTTAACTTGCTGAACTATGTCTCTGCCCCAGAAACATTTTCTTCTTAATAATTGAATATGTAGCAGTACAATGAGTGGTTTGATAAGCCCAATATTTATAGGCAATATAACATTTCTCTGTTTTTCTGAAATGGTGAATTTGGGAATAAAGTCTTTGCCAATTGATTAGAATCCATCATGAATCTGCATTTCTGTTCATTTATCTCCATTTAGTAGATTTATCATCAATTTACAGTGTTGTAGAATTTAAGGGGAATCATTGAACACACCCCTCTCTATATAGAATTTTACCATAACTGTCTTCAAAGTGCCATGTCACCATACTACCAAAAGTGAGTCTATGTTGATCTAAATGTATTCTTAAAATCAACTCAAAAACTATTATCAAGGTAGTAAATCATTATTTTAAACATATGTACAGGATTTCATTTTTAGATTTTGGGGCCATACCTATTGGTGCTCAAGAGTTAGTTCTGACTATGCTCAGGGGTCACTCCTTGTGGTGTTCAGAAAACCCTATGGCCTCAGGGTTGAGGCAATCACCCTAATCCCTGTACTATTTCTCTGACCCCATGCATGGGATTTTAGATGAGCTTCTTTATAACTGAGTATCATCCAAAGTCCCCCAAATTGAGAGCTTAAAAAGTAGGGAATGCTGACAGAGCATGAAAACAATACTTGAGATTCTTAGCTTGCCACAAACTGTGGGTATGTAAGCTAAAATAGAAAAGCAAGAAATTTAGTAGGATTTCTCTTTATAGAGAGAATAGAGTCTGAGGTAGTGCTCTTTGATAAAGGGAAGCCCAGTCTATGGGAGTTCTAGAGAATCCTCCTGAGGGCTTGATACGCCTCCTAGAATTTGTAGAATCCAAGAAATATATCTGACCTGATCCTAAAAGAGTCTTAAAGAGTAAGGTTTGCTGGTGTTGTTAGGCTGACTCATGAATGTTATGGTAGGTGTGAGCTCCTTCTACCAATGATGTTGCAGAGATAAAGGCATTATTGCAACAAATTAAACCACTAGAACAAGTAAGAAGGTTTAGAGAGGCTTGTTGGACATACACTTAGTTAAGGTATACATGCTTATACACTATATGTAAAGGTAAAGGTAAAGGTAAAGGCCCTCCCGTTGATCGTCGATTTGCTCGAGCGGTCCTAGTAACGTCTCCATTGGAGACCTTGTTGTTACTGTGTCTGGCATATCGGATACTCTCGGTAGCTTGCCGGGCTCTCCGAGAGGGGCGGAGGAATCAAACTCGGGCCGGCCATGTTGGCCGCTTGTAAGGCGAATGCCTTACCGCTGTGTAAATCAGCAGTATTCTTAAGACCTATAATAATCTATTTGAATATATATTAGACATAAAGACTCTGTTTACACTAACAACAGAAATTCAAAGTATCTAGGAAGAAAGTTTTATTTGGAGGCATCACACCCAGTGGCACATAGGATTTATTCCTAGCTCTGTGCTCAGGGATTACTCCTGACAGTGCTTGGGGAATCATATGTGGTGCCAGGATTTGAACCATGGTTGGACATGTACAAAGTCAAGC